TGCTTACCTCAGAACTAAGCCTTAAAGAGAGGACGGTCCGTCCCCTCTCCAAGGCTTAGTCCTGGGGTGAGCAAACCAGCCCTTCTGGCGGAGCTGCTGGACCAGCTGCACCACATGCGTCAGTACTCTCCTATCGTACCAACGAGTTGAAGTAAACCGTCGACCGTTGGGGACCCCATCCCCTCCCCAACATTCAGCATACGGTCCCAGCCGAAACGCCAAAAGGGCTGGTTTGCTTACCTCCAAGCAAACAGTCACTACGCAGTCGTCCTGCTTTCATATCGCGTTGGCAATTAAAGGATGCACTAGCCCTAGTAGAGAACATTTAAAGTGTAGTTGTAAAGGGAACCCATCTAGGGAAGCCGCAAAAAGGGCAAAACTCCCTAAATATAGGTGTGGTTGGAAATTCTTCGGGAACGCCCACTTGCCAGCCGTGATTGGCTGCGGAGGCTTTTGTGATCGTTTTGGGACCACAGGGAGTATTTGAATTCGTCCCTTCAAAGCAAATGATGTGGTACTGCAGTTTTTTCTTGACCTTTTTTACGGACGGACGCACTTTTTCCCCGCGGAGAAGACAACCTTCGAATGATCGCTTCCCCCGAATTTCTTTTCAGGGGCATGCTTCGTTCGACGTATTGGCAGGTTCAGACAACTCGTCCAACACGCGTCTTCCTCCATTGCTAAGTGGCAGAGGGGGAGTCCCTGTCTAAGTCCCTGTTCGACGTTTTTCTTCAGTTTTTTCTTTACTCGGTTAACTTTTAACCTGAAACTACATCCTCAACGATTATGACCCCACAAATTCGGTCTGGGATTGTTGCTTTAACTAGGCTAAATCGGATTCAACGGGGCTTAAATTTTGAATGGAAATGGAAGGCGTGGCTCATCCAGCGACTGATCAATGAAGCTTTCTCAATCTAGTCCAAATGAGTGGAAAATGTCTGTTCTTAGGTTTCTGAATAGCTGGTTAGTACTGCGTGCAGTCGCACTGACCACATCTCTACATGTGCCTTTATTTTCATCAGCAAGTATATATTGATGATTTTATCAATACACAGTTGTTGTTTTTCGGGTCCGAAAGCATATACATGAGGCTTGAAAAAAAGTCTAATAAATCAAAAGAATCGGGTAAATGATTTGTTGTGGGTTAGCCAATCTTTCGGTCGATCGTAAGCAAGGTCAACAGGTCTTCATAGCTCATTACACTGTGATACACTAGTAAAAAAGTAAGCATGACGATCACTAACAAATTCTCATGTCCAGTCATGGTCATAATTTTGAAAGAATGAAGTGTGCATGGCGCAGCGCGGGATTTGAGGGTTATGTGGAACGAAGACCACATTATTTTATCAAGTTTCAAAATCAAAAAGTCATAGAATAGCTTGTTTTTGATATTAATTCGGGTCCGAATACCGCTTGGGGCACAGAGTTTTGCTCATAACTCAGTCTAGCCTTATCGCTAGTTTCGAGAACTACCTTATTTACCTAGGCAACAATAATAAAGCGATTTTGACTGTATACTGAACAAAATCGTTCACATAGTTAACATCATTAAATGTTTGGGTAAACTCACATATTTTAGCATTTTCGAATAGGAACTCAGCGTTGTCCTCAGACTGTGTTCGCGATAAGGTGATAAGGCTAAGAAGAATCAGCAGAAGTAGGCACCAAGAAGGCATCTAGGCGAGTTAGCAGAGCGACGCTCGGCGTAGGCGGCGGTGAAGGCGTGAAGCAGTTCAGAGGATGCTCTATTTTTGTTGTAAGATGTTGTCATGCTACGTGTAATGCGCAGGAAACCGGAACTATCTCCCTGATTCGGGCGTATTATCACAACCGCATGGGGCGGTCCTATGGTCGGAGAGCGCCTTAACGCGTGTTCGCTGTAATAACTGCTTGTTAACGTATGCACCCAGTGAAATTTATGGGTCTGGAAGGGGTATTTGACTGCTGAGAAGCGGTTTTCTGTGGCCAGCGCAGGCTAGACTTTCCAACTCGAGGCGGACATAACCGTTGAAAGTCTTTTTGTGGGTCACAAGGAGAGGAAAGCGTTGGAAACATTCTTTGTATTTGGTACGGAGCTATTTCCTCGGGATGTTTTACCAGGGAATTACGAGTGGTTTTCGGGGGAAGTGGGAATGGGTTGGAATGAGCTTAGAAAGGGCGTTCCATTCATTTGCGGTCATTTTCGATTTTAGGAAGGGAGCCGTGGGTTTATTTTAGAGGCTGTACAGTAACTGCAATTATGGTTGAATTATATTTTGCTCCGCTGTAATTGTTTCGATGCGTATAAGACTTTCGGGGGAGCGTAAAAAACGTTGGCTTTTAAAATAAAATGGATGGTGTTCTGGAAAATTTTATGAGAGTTAGGCCTGTAATTTTTTTATTTCAGTAGGTTTTTTTGAGTGTATGCCATGTATTCAGTTCTTCCGAGACCACCCGGCCTCTCAATTGGTTGTTTGGAGGCGATATTGCAAGATAGTGTAGTGGATCAGCTGTAGGCAACTGTCTATTGTATCCCCAGCGAAGGCTGCATATCTGGTGGCTCGAACAGAAAGGGGACCTTGTTTTTAGGAAGACCGAGTATAATCCATCGACATTGATGTTTTTTAGGCCGCGCTTATGCGCCTGCAATTTAGTTCTTCACTTGGATTGAACTATAACCTATCAACTTACCATACAAGCGCTTTAGTCTGTGTGGTCGGTTGGTGTGTGTGAGGTCGGTAGGTCTGGTCACGAATTCCCAAGCTCCTCGGGGATCCACCTGGAGGGACCGGGTCAAGTGTGGGATGGGTGGGCAGGGTCTCACGTAATACAAAACACACATCAGCTAAGCGGAGCCCCGCCCACAGAGGGCGTGGCGTGCGTCGAAATGAATTGTACCGAAGACCAAGATTTCGATTTCAGTGACAAAACGACCTCGAAACTGGGCCAAAAAGTGGGTTAAGGTGTGCATTGGTAAGTCACATCGAATTAGGGAGACCCACCCCCGGTGGGCGGGGCGTTCTCTAAAAAAGCAGTGCTTTATGAAAAATTTCATAACTCGGTTGGGAGAAAGCCTACAGAGCAGAAAACAATTCGGTGTAAGGGAGCAATGTCTAAGGTGTTTCCCGCATACATGACGTGGGCGGAGGCCTGCCCAGAATGGGCGGGGCGCGCTCTTAAAGTGTGTGATACAGCATTATTTAGTAGTTAAAGGCTCAGAATTCGGTCCGAGGGCAGTCTCTACAAGGCCGGGAAAAAAGGTTGTTATAGAGGGGGGGGATTGGGGAGGACGATAAGGAGGCAGGGGAGGGTGGGGCGGGGCGACGAAGGGGGTGTCCAATTGATGGGCGGATGCTAGGAACAAAGGGGTGGCGGGTTTGGCGCGGAAATTCACGTCGCGGCTCCACAAGGTTACGGGGGAGGCCGGGGAAATAAAAGGGTGTGAAAAACGTGGATAGAGGTGGGTGGAGGAGTGGAGGTCAACTGTCATCGGTGGGCGGGGCTTGACCAAAGTGGGCGGAGTTTGCGACGGAAATTCATAACTCGGCTCCATGAAGCTCCGGAGGCCGGGAAAAAGGTGGTGGATTGAGGTGGGTGGAGGAGTGGAGGTTAACTGTCATCGGTGGGCGGGGCTTGGCCAAAGTGGGGCGGAGTCTGCAACGAAAATATAAAACTCGGCTTCAACAAGTCCTGGAGGCCGGCGTGAAGAGTTAGAGGCGGAAGGAAAGGAGGTCAACTGCTATTAGTGGGCGGAGCATGCACATAATTGGGCGGAGTTTGCCAAAAGTGTCGTAATTTGGTTCCAAGAGGTCCCAGAGACCGGTGAAAAAAGGGGTAGAGGTCGGCGAAAGGAAGGGGGCCAAATGCTATTGGTGGGCGGGCACGCACCGAAGTAGGCGGAGTTTGCCACGAGATTTATTGTCCGGAAGCAGTCCGGAGACCGAGAAAAAGAGGATAATGGTTGACGAAGAAAAAGAGGTTGAAAGCCGTCGATGATGGAGCGGATTGAATTTAGCTGAGGATTCAGATATTCGTAGTGTATCAAGCCAAATATGAAAATTTTTGTCGCACCAAGGTTCGCCAGGCAGATCTTGTGTTGCGCGCCGAAATGCGCGGCGCCACTGGTGGAATTAGCTTCGAATGCATTCGGCTTCAGAAAGATGGTGAATGCGTAGCGCGTTCGAAACTGTTGTATGAATGTCAAGAATTTCACTCCTCCTCAATACGTATACAATTTCGAAGCAAAATATGAGGAATTATAATTGCGAATATTCAATTCGATTTTATACAGGGAGTCAACTAAGGCCTTGGTTTTTTTATATCAGTATTTATCATTACATTGGATGTACGGGTGGAGGCGATGCGCGTCAGTTCTACCTACTCAGGGGCTCAGTTCTGGTTCGATTACTTTGGCTCGTTTTATTCCCCAAACTCTCGCGTATACATTATCTTAGTTTCACAGAGTATAAATAGTTGGGGTATTATTGATGGGAGGGATGGACGATTTCTGGAAGAAAGAGGACCCAAGAGGATTGTGCGACCGCGACTAACGGGCCTGTGTGAGTGTTAAGGTTGATAAATGTTCGCTTAGCCTCAAAATGTGCCTGGTTCGCAAGCTCGACAAACAGTAATGAGTTATGTCGTTCGGTATTGGTTAACTGAGTCAAGCATGTAAGCTGGCAGGCTAGTAGAACGGGCGGCTAGTAAGTTTCCTCATGCTTTTTGCTCTTATTGTTTATTCGTATAAATAGAAGGGTAGCCAGTAAGTTTTTTCGAACCCCAAGGAGTGCCTTCGAAGGGTTTCTTTTTTACCTATTGATCAAAGCGAAAGCGCGGGGCCCGGTATCACTTGATTGTTCATGAACCGGACGGAGTGACTTTTTGCTAATTGTGGGCGTTTTCTCCGGCACAGGTTCAGAATTTTTCGGGAACAAGAAAAGAATGTTTCGAGAATTCAGTCACTGAACTAATTTGTGTGGCGATTAAATGAGGAGAACTCGCAGGAGAGAGCAGTTTTTCAGATAACTGATTTCTGCAAGTTCACGGAGGAGGTTCTGAGTGCAGTGAAAGAAGACTCAGAATTGATCGAAGTGATTAATGCCCTCGATACAGCTGAGAGTTTCGATTCGCTAACTGGTAGCAATTTGATCGATCATCTGGTTGGACGTCTCAGTCATAGCGGGGTGGCGGAGTGGATACAGGTTTGCAAGTTGAGAAAAGTTTGCTTGTTAGTGCGTAAGGCCTGGACTTGATCCTTCAGAAAGCTGATAAACCATGGTGTCTGAGGCACATCTGTAGTGCTTTTCCTCACTGGAGTAATGAAGCACGAGTGGAAGTGCTAACAAATCTGTTGCAACGTCCGAAATCCCAAGAAATACAGTACGCCGTTGGGAATTGCATTGACTCGATGTTTAAGATGAAGGTGAGCAGTTTTTAGGAAGTAGGTTCGTTTTGCTTATATATCTTTGTTTCCCGGATTCGAGAACCAAATTGACGTCGCAGTGGTTTTGAATTGGTCGCAATTCAGGTGCGAGCAGGAGAGTTGGTGAACGTGTCGTTGGTTGAAGGAGGAGAAGATGTTCTACGGCAAACGGTTACTGCAATATTCGGAAAGGATGTAGTGAAAAGTGGATTGAAGAAAATGAAAAGCTGCGAATATGCTAAGAGGTTGCTATTTTGTTCCCTTCTGTAGATAATTTCTATCCCTTAGCCTAATCATGTTCCAAGCACCCTTATTACTACAAAAAAACGGAAAATTATAGGCTCAACTTTTAGCTGCGAAGGAGTTCAATGAAGTCCATAACCGATCAATTTGAGCCATTCGCATGATTTCTTTTTAGTGCTCTTCCTGTCTTTTGGATGTGTTTGAAATTATGGTCGAAAATGGCGTCATCAGATGAAGTGTCCGAAGGATACACGAGTAATGCTGAAGAACTTGTCATGGTAGCAAAGGGTGACGAGGACGGCCTTAAGGTGATTATTGGGCTCTTGTGTTTTCTTCATGAGCTTGTCAATATTTACAGAATTGAAAATTGGTTCATAGATGAATTGTGAGTGATTTATCGGACATATGAAAAACGACTTCACAGATTTTGTACTAGAACGAGTTTCTTTGTTCTGTTGAACTGGAAGGGTAGAAGATTTTCACACCAGCTATGGGAGTTACCGACCTTCTTTTACCTTTTTTGAGGTAGAACGACCTCGCCTTTACTTTTGCAGCGGTTTGTGAGGTTCTGAAAGACTCTTCTGAAGAATACAAACAGTGAATTCAAATATGGGCTGCTCTTCACAATCCAAGTTTGTGGAGAGGAAAGCGCGTAAAGTCATCTACATCTCGAGATCGAAATCGAATTCGTGACTTATCCTAAAGTTGACATCGTTTATTTATGAATTACCGTGGAACTAGAAGGCTTTCGAAACAAGCAGTTGTAGGACTGAATATATTTTTCTGGTGTAGAACATATTGAAGGAATGTAGCGCATGTAGGGCATATCTGCC